CTCGTATACCTTGTTTAAAGGCATGAAGGGCAGAGAAAAGGTAGAACTTTGCTCAAGAACTGCTAAATGTGTTAGTGCTGCAGTCGTTTGCTTTTAGAAATATGCGGGGAAGCTTCTTAATTTGAGAGTGTGAGTCATAGTGACAGCTTTGTGACAGAAGATCCTTGGAATCAAAGTAACCTGGCACGCTAGATTAAGTCATAGTTTTTCTCTAATTGGTGAGAGAAAATTCTGCTGTAGTTGGCCCACAACTAGAACTTTTTATGTTAAAGTGTGATGTGTGCTTGTAGTATCTGGTAACATACCGTATATACTCGAGTATAAGCCGCCCCGAATATAAGCCAAGGTACCTAATTTTACCACAAAATTGTTGTACGTGGTCTTTTGGTATTCAGGCTAAATGATTTATGTTCTGCAGAAGACTACTTAATTGCATATTCTGTCTAATTAGTATTTATCTTTGCTGCTGAATGAGAGTGCACCTGGTGCATGTCAAATGATGGCCTCTTGTGGCATTTCTCCAGTTTATTGTTGGGTGACTGGAAGAGCCAATGGATATCTGGATTAATGTTTAGGCCTGCTTGACATTTTTCTCATAGCTAGTAGGCCTATTGCACTCAGGTCTCTTGTGGCACATCTCCAGTTTATTGTTGGGTGACTGGTACAGTCAATGGGTACCTGGATGAATGTTTAGGCCTGCTTTACATTTTCTTCATATTTAGGCCTAACACACACAGAGGTGTTTTCTATTATGTTAAAGCAAATAAATGGGCCATATTATACATCATACAAAATATTGCAATTATAGATATTCAAAATGTGCTTGTATACATTACACAGATTATGCACGTCAATGTTCATTCAACACATGTCCTTGATCAAAGTCTACTCTTTCAAGGATACATGTGCAGATGATTATGTATTTTGTAATGAGAGAGAGAGGACCATATAAGTCAAACATATACTAGTAATATCTTGTATATCTCATACACACACATCTTGATATATTGTATACACCGCATCTGAGGGATCATGCTAGTATATGCATATGTAAAGAACCAATAATCCCATTACAAACATGACCAAATCTTGGTCCCTTGTTCCAGAATGTAATACGCCAGGAAGCAACTGCAGGAGCGAGATGAAAAACATGATTGTAAATGTGTCCACAAGGATCAACAATGGGTTTATTAACTCCTCCAGAGTATAAAGACACCACTCAACACCATGAGCCTAAATAAAGTATGCCCCCCCATAAACCTTGTATTCCACATAGGGGATGTCCACTGGGTGTTAGTGTCCACATAGCAGATATGGAAAAAGACTCTATTTGCCCCCTTTTTTCCCCCCATATATTCCCCTCATTTGACCCTATTTTCATCTCCCTACCACCTTAATTTTCTGGTCCATGTTGGCATTGATGGAAGAAGTGCTTTGCATTCTGGAGTGGAATGCTTCCAGAAGTGTCTAACCAAACTGCTGGTCCATACTTGGGACATTATCTCATTGGCGGCATGTGACGGGCCGATTTGGCATGAAGAAAGACTTATTCCCTGCATGCAGCAGTGGTGGGAATAGTAATTCATAACCAGGGTAACACTGCCCAGTGGACATTCCCACACCCCTGTGCTGAATGCGAGTTTTATTGTAACTGTACAGTCCCCCATATTGTGTACAGCTATGCGCAAACTGTTGGCGCTATATTAATCCTGTATAATATTAAAATACTTGGCTTATGGTGATTGATGGTTATTGATGGATGACGTTTGATTATGATTTCTACAAATATTGGATCCTGCATATTTCTGAACTTATTTTAAATAAACACCTGTGAGCTCAATTTTTTTTTTTTAAAGAAGAAAAGTGCAATAAGCCAAAATTGTTTCCATTTTTGAATTTTATGTTGATTTGTATATACCACAAATATCCTTTTTTTTTTTTTTTCTTCCTCCGGTTGTCTTCAGATCAGTTCCTTTATATTTAGTGAGGACAGATCTTAGACCAAGTGTCAAATACCTTTTCGGAGCTTGAAGTGACGAGGCAGGCCTCTCTTGCAACTCCGGTCCTGAGACCCCTGCTTAATGGAACAGGGAGCTCAGGGCACAGAGGGGCACAAGTGCCTGAAGACTGGTGCCAGAATAGTAGTTCAGAATCACCACTGCAGCGCAGCAGACAATACAGGAAACGCACGTCTGGGATGCAGGTCAGGTGATAGCAGGATCCGGAGCAGGAACCAAGTGGCAATGCAGAACCAGGCAGCAGACGGATTCGTAGTGGGGGGCAGGCCGAGGATGAAACCAGGAGGACAGTGAGGTAGAAGAACAGCAGGCAGAAGAGGTGTCGGCAACAATCCGAGGTAAAGGAGCAGGAGAACAGCAGGGTCAGGATAGCCAGGTCAACAAACAGGAATACAGGAAAAATATGCTGGATACTTGATAGCTGACGATCATCCAGCACTGAACATCAGGGAGACACAGTTTAAATGGCACGTCTGGGACCAGAATTTGAGGTGCGCACACATGTGAGCAAGCACGCGCATCTATGCAGAGACGCACACCCAGGCCTTACTCCATTGGTCAAACTATGTTTATGCACATGCGCAGATGTTCGCGCAACACTATCATCAGGAGCTCTCTGACGGCTTCTTGACACCAAGGCCTAATACAAGCAATTTTTGGGATAGAGTTTTGTGGTGTTTGAGCCCAAAAATTTGGCTTTAGATATATTTTAAGCCTCACCTTCTTAACTATGTGCCCTCTTCCTGCCATTAAGATGTGAAATACCAAAGCCTTTGTGGCCAGTAGAGGCTCTTTGTTTGACTGATAAAAGACAGTGGACTGAGAATAGTGGTAGGAGGTTGTAGAATGTAACATTTGCAAAGAATCCAGACTCTGTATGAGGAGTATAGTGGCAGCCCATATACTTTAAAAATGAGAGAATGAATTAATGATTTTTATCTGTTCCATGCATGTAAGCACATTCACAAAGATGAAGAAAAAGGGCAGTTACATTAAATCAATTCTTTGTTTTTATTCATCGTTTCTAAACAAATTTTATGATACTATTGAATGTATACAAAAAGAAGCAATATTTCCAAAAACAGACTTAAAAAGAATCTGGAAAGGGGGTATCTTTTGCACTGTCCACGGTGCCGGTGATCTCGGACAGGATAATTGTATATTTACCGTGTGACAGTGTTCAGTAACATAAATATTTCTCAAACTTATCTCTTGGGTTCTCAGACACCAAGCAGGTACATAGAAAGTTCAAGCTCCCCTACCCCACTGCTTAGCTTTCAGCTGTGAAGGTGCAGGGTATGTTTGCATGGATTTTTTTGAGTACAGGGAACTTTGGGATGGGGTCTTCCTGGGATTCTTTGCTTACATCACTGAGATAAATACCATATCAGGTTTAAAGTAGATCTTTACTTCCTTTCACTAAAAAATCATATCAGCATGCTGATTTAAAATCATATTACATTCATTAGTTAAACACGGTTTTCTTTTACTTAAAAATAGTTTATCCACAGTTTTGGCACAAGTGATGTAAAGGGCCAGTGTGGCATCCTGGGAAGGTTACATCAGAAGAGGATTGCTATGAAATCTCATCTGTAATCTCTTGAGATCTCAGGGAAAGGCATTTTCCTCCCCTGAGATGATGTGCAAGGTCACATGTCTTATTCGCATGTGTCAGAGTTCCAGGAAGTCAAGGGAGATCTAGTAACCTATGTCTAGTGAACATGGCCACTGTCAGAAGAATGGGGAAGAAAAGAGGAATAAGGTATGCAAAGAATACAAAGCCAGCAATTGTCTAGAAGTATCTGTATGTAGATTGTCATTACTAAACATTTCTAAAGGTATGTTTGTTATTTCAAAGATATTAATGTTCCTCTTTATTCCTGCTGTGGTGATTACAATGAAGTTGCAGTCTCCTTACCAGAAATGTCATCCGTTTTATATTCTGGAGATTGCAGCAGGAGCATAGGGTAAACCCTAAAGTCCAAGATCGGCATGAACAGAGCCAGAAGTTAGGGTAGGGCAATCCCAGTATCAAGCATCCACTTAATTTAAGACCTTGATGCCCACCTGTGGCCCTTTGGCTCTTGCTATGCTGCACTCAGGGCTCCTGCAGACAGTAGTCACTGTTTTGGCGCTTTCATCACTAAGTCAGTGATGAGAAACATGTTTTCGTTTTTTTGTCCTGCTTCTAAATATTAAGGTGTGTGTGTGCGTTCTTTCACATTACCCTACATTTTGTGTTATTCAACCCTTTTCTTTTTAAATGTTTGGTTTTTTTTTTCGTATTTTCTCTGATGATTTATGATAGATCTTGCTGAGCAAAATATAACATGTGGTACAAGTAAATTGTAAGGGAGCACAAATGTTGGTAGCATTGTTTCGTAAAGGGCGGTAATAGCAGAGATTGTTAGAAATCTCATGTTACCTTTGTCTAGTTTATAACTGTCTTCTGAAGTGTGTCCTTAGTCTCTGATCATCTCCTCTAACATATCTGAAGTTTCTGACCATTTCCTATTGCATGTCTTCTGTGTCTGACTACAGTTCGTTAGACTTGTACAGGCCCGGCGCTAGCACAAGGCAAGTAAGGCGGGCGCCTTACGGCGCTGGAGGGTGAGGGTGATGGGTGGGTGATTCAACACACCACAGGACGAGTTTGGGGTAGAATTACCCATTAAAAGGATAAAATATGTCAGCCAGAGGTGCACAGCTAATTTATTGCTGAACGCCTATGCAAAGAAAGGTTACTAACCTTTGGTATGTAGAATACAATATGAAAATTATGAGTGTACATAAGAGATCCTGACTGCCGGTTGCAAATGCAAATCTATTCAAAATAGGAATAAAGCAATACCCTTCTGCACATGAGCTTATAAAGAATTGGATTGTCAAATTCTTTCAGTGTAGCATGGGTGACTTTACATCTATTTTTTTACTTACACTGTATTTTGGACTAACTTTTTTTTTCTTTTCTTTTCAATATAGCCACATTAACCAGAAAACACAGTTTGAAAATCCAGTTCTTGAAGCTAAAAGAAAGAAGCAGCTTGGCCAGCTGGGTCTGCCTCCGCCTGAAGGGGCAATAATTCCTGGTATGGGTATTTACTATATTAATTTGTAGTTGTATGATATATGCTTAAGTTAAGCACTGTTTATTCTAAACTCATCTCTTTTTTCCCCCAATGATTCGATTTGTACCTCTTGCAGAGCCTGACAAGTCCCCATTCACCAGAGATCCAGCACTGCTAAAGGGAGCAACATTGCGCACATCTCTTAAGAAAAGTGCTATGGGATTTGGATTCACGATTATTGGAGGAGACAGACCAGATGAGTTCTTGCAGGTGAAAAACGTTCTCAAAGACGGTCCAGCTGCACAAGACGGGATAATAGCTCCAGGTATATTTACACCAAAAACAAATTATATTACAGGAAAAAATAAATTACAAGGACATTGTTTAAATTATGCAGTATATTGATGGAAATATGTTTGCAGGTTGTTCTAGTTTAAATGGGCTTAATATTATCAGTTAGAGATCGTTGATTTCTGAAGGGGATCATGCCTTTTAGTGTGCAGAATGTGAAAATAAAGGTCTAATTTTAGGTTCATTTAACTAAATTTACTTTTGTTTTTGGATAGAAAGTGAGAGGAAAAAGATGTTTTAGCTTGTTTACCTGTTTTCTTAAAAACATAATTGTTTGGCATATCATGTTAAGTAAAATACAAAAACATCACATCTTTTGTGCACTATTTGACAGATCTGTTTTCCTAATAATAGTCACTAGGCTACCATTCTGTATAAACTGACAGTCTGCCAATTTTGTCTGTGACCCGTGTGTGAACTACCCTGTCCAGTGAATGGAGAGATTATTTTTTTCTTAGAACTAAAGTGCTGAGTATACTTTGAAAAAACTACTTGTCCAAGGGCTAAAGCAGGGGTCAAATCTACTTGTCCTTCATAACAATCTACTTGTCCCAATACAAAAAAAAAATTTTTAAGTTTAAAACTAGGGATGCACCAATACCAGTTTTTGGGTATCGAGTACCAATATTTTGCTTTCAGTACTCACTGAGAATCGGTGCTTCTGTTGGCATGGAGTAGGCTTCCCGGTCAATCAGGAAGCCGGGCAGCGGTTAATGAGATGCTACCCGGCTTCCTGACTGCCAGGGAAGCCGACTCCATGTTGTTTGGCCGGCTTGATTGTGAATAGCTGGGAAGCCGGTTTCCCGGCCAATCATCATCGAGCCAGCTTGCTAGCCAATCGGGAAACCTGGCACAGAGTAATGGCCTGATTGGCCGTGAAGATGGCTCAATGCTGATTGGCGGCCAATCAGCAAGGAGCTGACTTTTTACTTTTTTTATAACTTTTTAAAAAAAAGTTTTTTACATTTTTTATAATTTTTTCATTTTATTCCTATCACATATGATGTTAGAATCCTATATGTGATAGTTTGGAGGTGACAGGTTCTCTTTATGGAACCTGCCCTCCAACACAGAACTGATGTTCTGTGTAGTTCCTGGCAGCCGACACAGGTGGCGCTGTGATTACAGCGCCACGGTCTCAGTGATAGCACAGAGCAGACGGAGAAAGGAAGTTCTTCGTCTGCTCTGCGGGCTCTATGGTGAGCTCCCGTGCCGTGGTGTCGGGTCCACCGGAGGAGCGGGGGACCCCTGAAAACCTCGGCGATCTGATTTCATACAAGTGATTAGATCACTTGTATGAAAACTAGCTGCGGCTCCACAATATACATTTAGCTCTGCTTGTCCGGAGCAGGACTGAATGTATTTAACCTGCCTGCCTGTCCCGGGCGTCGGGCGATAGGAATTCCACACCCCTGCTTGTAAGAGACAGAAGTGCACAGAAATTCCTATGTATCCGTTTCTGTGCTTTATAGTCAGTCTAAGAAATTCAGGAAAAAAAGTAAACATTTTTTGCAACTTCATCCAAGTCTAAATTTTAACATGCTGAAACTAAGCCAACAGGAATGTTCTTAGTTTTAGGCTCCACTATCTCATATGATTCTGTTTAACCTAACTCCAGCTTTGAAAATAGAAAAAAAAAATTAGTTGGCCCAACAGCTGTAAAAATAAAAATCTGGTTTTGCTGCAATACTTACCTTCACCATGGTGCTGCCCCCCTCAGAAACTGTTTAGACCAGTAGTTGTCTCCCCACTTCAATGGTAAAGATGCCCAGCCTGGCTCAACCGTGAAGCTGACACGCAGGCAGGCAAGGCCCACCCTTTGTATCAGCCAGTCTGCCAGCACTGGTAGTGTACATGGGTCACTTTTGTGTGGCAATTGTGTGCCGCTCTGCTCTGTCCACCAGCCACCACTGCATGGAAAATCAGGAGGAGGTTGGAGGTCATGTGAGCACTGCTTGGTTAAGTAGTAAGAACATTTGTAAAAACAAAAACAGCACTAAGTGCACGAAGGCAATTGTATTTGTTGCCTTAATTTGGTGCTTTAATTAAATGTTGGAATTGGGCTTTAAAATAAACCCATAAAGAGATAAAAAATAAAAAAAATTAACCCATTGAGTTCTTTTATCATTTGCAGCATACATAGGGGTTCATTTGTAAATGTTCAACAACATTTACTATACTTGTCAGCGTTATCTAGGGCCACTAGTGCCATGCAAATGATGGAACTTTTATAAATGAACCTCTTAAAGTCAGATACAGCCTGGCAGCAATTTCAGCCTACACCTTACTCTAATGAAATGTTTCCTTTAATATTTGGCTAAAATTTTCATTTTGGGATGAACCCATTTGTTAAAAATTATCAATTTTATCATCCAGCTTCTAACTGCCTTGAGTAAAAAGCTTAAAGTAATGATTTCAACCCCATAAATAAACCATTTCTGCAGTTAACCATATGCTCATCCATCAGGAGAAAGGCATAACGTCCACCAATACACCATTTTCTGTTGTTATTAACAGTAATGAATAAACAGACTGAATATGCACTAACCACAGGTATGGGATTCGGTGTAGAAATGTACAAATTGGTAAAAAAACAACCACCAAATGATGTAGCATAAAAAGTTTTTTTTTGCTGTAAGCTTCTTTTACTCCTATCTATCTATCTATCTATCTATCTGTGTATATGTGTATATATATATATATGTATGTGTATATATATATATATATGTGTGTGTGTAATATATATATAAAGAGCAAGATCCCCTCCCTTCGGTGACTGGGCCGCAGGGCAGTGTTCCAATATAACGACACCAAACACACCTCCAAGATGACCACTGCCTTGCTAAAGTAGCCGAGGGTAAAGGTGATGGACTGGCCAAGCATGTCTCCAGACCTACACCCTATTGAGAATCTGTGGGGCATCCTCAAACGGAAGGTGGAGGAGCGCAAGGTCTCTAACATCCACCAGCTCCGTGATGTCATCATGGAGGAGTGGAATGGAACCTGTGTTCTTGGTCACACGCATGCAGAAGTTGTTCAAATGTTCCAGCTTATTCCCATTAACCAGTATGTGAATATGACACTATGCAGAGGCTATCCTCTTCCTGAAGATAGTGATGACCCTGTAGCTGATATTGTTAATAATACTCCACCAGTAATAAATGGGCAGTTGACTACACAAGGAGAAAACATGGGAAGCCAGGACTTGACGTCTGGAGTAGTTGTTTTGGACCACAATAGGAAACCAGGCCATGTGTTGGTCAATGGGCGACTGAATGGACCTACACAGGATTTACAAGATCAAAGGACATCTATGGCATCATCTGGGACATCACAGCCTGAGCTAGTGACCATTCCTTTATTAAAAGGCCCCAAAGGTTTTGGTTTTGCCATCGCTGATAGTGCAATGGGGCAGAAAGTGAAAATGATTTTGGATAGTCAGTGGTGTCCAGGACTTCAGAAGGGGGATGTAATAAAAGAAGTCTGTCATCAGAATGTGCAGAGCCTGACACACATACAAGTTGTTGAAGTCTTGAAGCAGTTTCCAGTGGGAGCTGAAGTGCAATTACTCGTTTTAAGAGGAGGTCAGTAACACCAACAATGTTTCACTCTAAAATTTGACAATCCATTAAACAGTCCATCTTCAACAAAAACAATTTTGGGTAGAGCTGTGGTGGGTTAAAGCCCCTGTCATGTTTTTTCTGGTGTCTGTGTCCCTGAGGGGCATCTTTCCCCTATTTTATGTTAGGACAAGATACAACAAGATAGGAAATTGCAGCTTACACAGGACTTTCCTTCACTTCTTGGGATGGTTAAAGGAGAACTATGAGGTGAGTGCTTTTCACTCACCTCATAGTTCTAGCCGACCTCTGACAATGTGACTGTCACAGGTCGGCTCAGTAGATCGGGAGGTGAGCGAACACATAGCGGCGTTCGCTCACCTCTCGATCCTGTCACAGCTCTCTGCCGTGACAGGGGAGGGGGCGGGTACAGCTGGCTCTGCCTCTAGATAGGCAGAGCCAGCTGTCACTCACGCAGCTGGGCGGATCCAGACATAATTGTCGGGATCTGCTTCAGCTGCGGCGTCTCAGTATACCGCGAGCAGTAGCTCGCGGTATACTGAGCTTATGGTAACGGGAGGACGCTAGTTTGTGTCCTCTCGTTACCCTAAGGAGAACTATGGGGAAAAGCCTTAACCCCATAGTTCTCCTTTAAGTTAGAGTAGACCTGTTGCTTTGTCCTGCTTTGGTAAACACATGTTAATTTTTATGGTATCATAATGACTTCTCAATTAACACAATATGTTCATCTTAGAGGATTTATTTTTTAATCATTATTTAGATCAATTTAGATGACACAGCAGCTATAGAGTCATTGTCTTATGTAATATTACAGCAATTTTTAGTAAGCATTAGGGATGAGGTTTGGGTTCGCTGCTAAGTTAGGGGTGTGGCGAACTTTGCATGTTCGCCATTGACCCAAACTACAAATTTATGGCCAAGTTTGTCCGGGCAGCCCCATAAGTGAACCCGAGCTCCTGCAGGGAAACATTCAGCAGCAGTATTACTGCCGCTGCTAAATGTGACAGTTTCTCTTCAGGCTGGTTGTTAAGAAGTCAGCAGCCGCCGGTGTCCTAGCAAGCTGGTGTCCTAACAAGTCATTCCTGCCCAACCCATTCAGCTGTCAACCAGGGTTACCCAGCTGTCAGCTAAACGTAACCATCAAGGTAAAAAATAAATAAATGTGGGGATCCCCTCCAAAGTACTTACCAGGTTCCTCATCAGGTCCACCTCCTTTGTGACTGACAGCAGGCATTGGGCGGATTTCATAGCCAATAGCAGGCTGTCTGTTGGCTATAAAATCTATCCACAGCATCCTCTCAGTCACAAGGGAAGAGGACCTGATGGGGACCTAGTCCATCAGTAATATGATAGTAGTTAGCACAATTTTGAGTTGCAGAAGTGCGTGGGTAATCCATGTTAGGGCTTTTAACATGTTTGATATCATGAAGAGTGCACCCATCCAGTGTCAATATGGTACCACCTTACTGAAAGCTAACATTTACATGTTTTCCATTGGATACAGATGCTTTTCTAATGGTTTTGGTTTCCTGAGTTTGTATGCATACAACTATACAAGTGTGCCATTTAGAGACACTGTTGTATCCATGCATGCTTTTGCATGCTTTAACAGTTTCACAGTTCATTTGAATAATTCTTGGCAATAGTGCTTTACTTAATTTTGGCTTTGTGGACTGCAATTGTGGTGATAATTGGTGTTATTCAGCTAGCTAATTATGTGGTTTTCACTGGTTTTCACTGCATACATAATTCCTTAAAGGCTGCTTGTTTTGACTAATTCAGGACATTTCTGCTCTTTGTTAATAATGGAGGCTGTCTGGCAGTGGTTACCTTGTAATGTTGCCCATGATGATCTTTTAATGGGAGCCTGTGAGGACAAAAAATACTGGAGCTGCCATTGCTTTCTTGTTTTTAAGCTTACTCAGGGAATATCATTGCTTCCTTTACTATTTAGTAAGCTATTGGCAAGAACCTGGATATCAGGTGTCAGGGCAGCTAATATGCACCTGCTTGTTCCAAGCCACTTAAAAGAATAAAGGTGCCCATACACCTTACGAATATCGGCCGATTTTTGTATGCGATCGAGTTATCGTCCAATATTCGTAAGGTTGATGGGCAGTGTACAACCGCAATTACTGTACAATCGATCGACTTTTGACTAACCAGCAGGTTAGAAAACTTCGGTCGAACGTACGATTTTCACAAGGTTGGTGGCATTTCCGTGCGTCACAATTCGGACGATTTACACTGCACATGCACAGACGAAAATACATGTGGTTGATTACCGCAATTCGTCCAGGTGCTTTCTTCTAATTACCGATGATCTAGCCTTGCGATAATTGGGGCAGGATGGGGCCTCCGTACGAAAATTGTACCACGTTTCGATCATCGGACGAAAAGTGTTGTCCGATGATCACAAGGTGTATGGGCAGCCTTAGGGATAAGTATGATCACATCAGAACTTGCATCTTCAAAAATAAGTCAGCAGTGGCAGCACCAATACAGTATAGCTACCTGATGAGTTTCCTGTAAATTGAAGACCTGTGATAATACATTTATGGGCTTTGACTTGTTTTAAATCTGCAAACTCCTGGGCTGTCGTGCTTATCCTTTACTGCCTAGTCACTGACCTTGAAAAATTAAGCAGGATAGGGGAACAGATCTTTATTGACTTCAATAGCTGCATGCCTTTTCCAAGTCAGAAACTCACTAGGCAGTAAATCCAGCAGCTCAAGCATCCTGAAATCTGCACTTCTAAAACCTAGTCAACCATGGCAACTCCCATATAGCTGTTCACAGATTCTTTTTAAACCGCTAAGGACCATATTGCTCCTCTATAACCATAAATGGAAGTGATCAACTAATAGCATGGTGTTTCCTATTCATAAATTCGTTCAGATCTCCCTTTTCTTTGAGTCAAAGTGAATCTCAATAGAAACTGTTTTGACACAATCTAATTATTGCACACAAAGCAGCAGTGGTCTTGACCCATTTGCTCAATGATGTCATTGTAGACATGCACAAATCTGCTGAGAACTGACCTTAAGTGTAGCTATCTGTACCTTTTATAAATACAAATGAAGTGCCAAGAACATGCATCCAGACATTATCAAACCTGAAGTGTTTTATACTTTCCTAATCCAGGACCCTCTGCTTATAACAGTGACCAGTGGATGCTTACCCAACAAGTCCTTCCTGAATGTAAGCACCCAATTCGGCCAGAATGCCAGGCATGTTGATGTACACTTAATCAATTAGTTGGAAGTCTCCAAGCCTTCCAGCCTTTATTGTGGCAGCCAGCAATACTGCCCGATGGTAAGGCTCAGGAGATGGGAAGGGGTGTGGGGTCAGGCTCCTGAACCATCGTCCTGGAAGAAAAGTTTATATCTGAGTGCTCTGGGAGTCTATGCATCTAAGGTGCATACTGTATATTCTTATAAAGGACCATATTTCCAGACACAGAACCTGCAATGTACTGATACAATGGGATTAACTAAGTAACATTTCATGTTTAATTTAAAGTGTATCTAAACCCAAGAAAAAAAATGAATCAATTAAGGCTTTCTCCCCTTTATTTTCACCTAGTTATACTGATCGTAGCACACCTCCTGTCCTAGGATAACAATGCTCGTAATGTATACAGAAACAATGTGAGCACTTATCCCCCTATCCTTATCCCCATAACAAATAGGGAGTTTTTGTTTTTTAGTCCAGCGATAACCTCAGCAGGAAGATAACATTGCAGAGTGTGCAAGACACATGACAGCACAATATTATTTGCACTTGGCAATGGTATATTCAACAGAACAAAGTGTAGCATGTAAGAGAAATACATTTTTAGGCTTTACATACACTATCAGATTTTTTTTCTTCTTTTTGCAGTTGTATACTTGCTGATTTTTCACTCCTTTAACATTATAAGATTGTGCATTTGTTTTAAAGTAATGTTAAAAAGTATACACGCAGTTGATTTCGAGGACATAATGTGCTGATTAAAGTGCTTACTTTATTCCAGCCTATATCACTGCAGTGAATTTCACCTGGCTGATTGGACCTAGTCATTAAAGCAATGGTTCAATCATTTACTAAATGACCAGTGGCTTTAATTTCATGATTCATGATGATTAAGTAACCAAAAAAGCAAAAAAAGACTGCTATTAACAAACAACAAATTGTGGTATTCAGAATCCAAATGAGCAGCTTTGCAAGTTACTATTCATAAGCTGCAGGGATCTGTATAGATGTACATTAGATGAGATATGCAGATAAACTCCTGCTGCAGTATGGATATGGTTAATAGCAATTACACGGACTCCATTTCCATTCCATACTAATTAGCTTATATTAGCACATAATACTGTTCCTGATAGCTGCCAGTTAAAGATGCGTCTCTATGTCTACTGTAATGGCTCAGGCGCTGCCCTTTTAAGAGCTGTTTTATTCCCAGTGATTGAATCCGAGTGGCCTTATCAAGGCTCATTCATGTGTTACATTCATTGACTTAATTGACTTTGCGTCTGTAAAACGAAAAAATAAAATGTTATAGAACTGGAAGCCAGGATTAGGAGAGTCTGTTATGTACCGCTTCCAACTACAGTTTTGCTTTTTTTTTTAATCCTTTGTTGCCGTCACATACTCAGAGTATGGAGTAAGATCATTAATGGTAATTAATTTTAATCTGGTATAGAGCTTAATTAGCAATAATAAAAGGGGCAGCCACTGTAATGTTTTGGAAATATATATGGACTGTTTTTGAGGAATAACAACAGTTCCTATTTTGTTTTGAGGGGATCCTGACAGAAATGAGCCCCTGCTGGCTTGAGCCTCAGTAGGAAGATCTTACCATAGAGATCCTGGCTCCAGCATAGCCATAACCTAGCTTGTTTGGAGTTATGTCAGGCTTTGTTGCTGGATCCTCAAATCATTCTTAAGGTGCCCATACACCTGCCGATTATTGTACGATAATTGCGGTTGATCCTGCGATCGTACGCTAATCGGCAGGTGTATGGAAGGCGTGTGACTGTTTCTACTGTACGGTCGCACATCTTTTGTCTTCTGAACACGCTGGAAAACCTGCCGCAAATCGTACGATTTTCGGTGGGTTAGTGGTGTGTTCGGAAGACAAATGCTGAACGGGTCGGTGTGCGCAAGTGCACACTGCCCACTCAGCATTGGAATCATCGGAAGCCCTCCCCTCAGCGGGGAGGGCTTGCGATGATCGCAATTACAATCTGCCTGTCCAAGATGGGCAGATCGTACAAGATTTGAATTACCTTACAACCATCGCACAACGAAAGTAGGGCACCTTTAAAGTGTATCTAGCAAGAGTAGTGTGGCCCTGTTGCTTTGCATTAAGCCAGTTAAGTTCTGGCTGCAACAGATGTGCGGTACGGAAATTTCTGGAATCACTCCTTCTTAGAAGAAAATAGATATATCAATATAGATATATCAATATAGATATATCAATATAGATCTATATATATATATATAGGGCTTGAAAAATCTGCTCGTCCTCTCTTCTGTGACGAGAGGACAGCAGAGCCGAACGAGTAGCTACCCGTCCGTCCGTTGCAATTAAACGTCCAGGAGCCTTACATTAAAGCAATCGGGCATCTAGAGACGCCTGATCACTTGTATTGGCAGCTGCTGTCACTGCCGTTGCCAGTCCCGAGATGCGCTGTGCCCGGTGCGGCCAGGACCGGTGTGGCTGCTCTGTGACTGGAGATCAAAAGGGAAATCGGTACACAAACTACCTCCAGTCCCCGAATGCAGGAAGTGACGCATTCTGTTGTCACTCTCCAGCTTCAGAAGCTGGTGAAGCAGATCTCTGCCTCATCAGCTTCTCTGAGGGTACCTTAGGTGACATTACGGGTCTTGGAGAACCCTGATGTCTCCATAAAGAGGACCTGTCATGTAAATTGGCTTCCCTTGAAACCACTCCTGCACAATACGAGCACCGTGGCATGGCGCATTGTCTTGTTGGAAGAAGCCATCTCCATTGGGATACGCCATCAACATGATAGGATGAACTTGATCAGCAATGATACTTTGGTATGTTGTGCTATTCAGACGTTGTTCCACACGAATTAAAGGGCCCAAATCATGCCAGGAAAACATGCCCCAAACTAGGGATGTCCCGATACCACTTTTTCAAGTACAAGTACTGTCCCTCATGTACTTGCCGATACCAATTACCGATACTTTTTCTAAAACAATGCAGACTAATGATTTTAGGGCAGTTTCTCACCAGTGCTGGAACGTGACAGGTTAAGGTGACATTAGGGGTCTTTTAGACCTCTAGTGTCACCTTTCTACTTCACTGGATTCACTATACAGAAGTTTTTTCCTCTCAATGAAAGAAGAGAAGGTCCGTTCTGTGTGAAGGCAAGATTTACAGCTTCTCTCCTCTCCTCCCCTGTGAGCACACTGAACGGACATTCTCTTCTTTCATTGAGAGTGAAAACTGCAATGTACGTCAGGTGAATGCATTACACATAACGGGCACAGACATCTGACACTTTGTGATATATCAACAAAAGCAAACAGCTTCATCAAGTTGAAAAAGAGGGGACACGGAGCAGTAGCAGCTAAGGTACAGGGGGGAGGGGGGCAGCGGGGGATTTTAAAGCCAGAGTCTCTTCTCCTCTCTCCTGCTAGCTACAGCCACTGAAACCACTGGAACACAGACTGCTGCAGCCATCACCAGCAGGGAGAAGAGACTGTCCATACAGAACACTTACCACCCGCCATGCTGTCACACTTCCGTCCGGAGAGGTCAGAGCCGAGAGGGAGCCTGCGTTTGGTGGAGAGGTATTCTGGGGGAGGGGCTATGGGGGTCAATGGCCGAAGCTAGTTAAAAAAAATTAAAGGGCCGGTATCTGATCTATACATCGGGGCATTTTCAGGAGTACAAGTACTCCTGAAAATGCCCTGTATCGGCCGCGATACCGGTACTAGCATCAGTATCGGGACATCCCTACCCCAAACCATAACACTGCCCCCACCAGCTTGAAGGGTTGTACTCATGCATGTGGGGTGCATGCTCTCATGCTGTTTCCGCCAAATTCTCACTCTGCCATCTGCATGTTCCAACTGGAAACGTGAATCATCGGACCACATTACTTTTTTTTCCAATGCTCGACTGTCCAATCCTTGTGTTTCTGTGCGAATTGGAGATGTTTTATCTTGTTAACTGCAGACAGCAAAGGTGTTCGAACAGGCCTTCGGCTTTCATATCACATACGATGCAGTGTACGGCGAACAGATCATTTGAGAGGATCCCTGATTAAAATCTGCAGTAATTTGATGCACTGTTGCCCTTCTGTTGTCTTGTACCAGTCTTGCCACTCTCCGTTCTGCCCTAACATTGACTAGTCTCTGACGGCCACAATTCGCATGTTCAGACCCAGATTTTCGGCTGACAGTCCAGTCTTTAAACATTTTAACACCCGCTGCTCTTAAACATTTAACGAATTCTGCTGTTTTGCTGATACTCGCTCCATGGCTCCGAGCGCCAACAATCATCCCACGTTCAAAGGCTGTTAAATCGCGTTGTTTACCCATATCTTCAGAAAAAGAAAAAATCACTTCTACTTTCGTGGTAAACAACCTGCTTCCCTATTTATAATGGTCTGGCCCTCTAGCAACTTCAGCGCAAAATTATAGCTAATTTGCCTACAAAAATTATAGCTAATTTGCCTACCTATATATAGATGTATATCGGTATATCGATATATATCTATAGATAGATAGACTATATTACTAAAAGTATTGGGACACCCCTCCAAATCATTGGCTTCAGGTGTTCCATTAAATTCCTTGCTACTAAATATTCCACGGTCAACTGTTAGTGGTATTATAACAAAGTGGAAGCAGCTGGGAACAACAGCAACTCAGCCACGAAGTGGTAGGCCACATAAAATGACAGAGCTGGGTCAGCATATGCTGAAGTGCTCAGAAGTTGCAAACTGTCTGCACAGTCGATAGCTACAGACTTCCAAACTTTGTGTGGCCTTCAGATTTGCACAACAAAAGTGCATAGAGAGCTTCATGAAATGGGTTTCCATGGCCGAGCAGCTGCATCCAAGCCTTACTTCACCAAGTGCAATGCAAAGCATCGAGTAAAGCAAGCCGCCACTGCACTCTATAGAAGTGGAGACGTGTTCTCTGGAGTGACAAATCACGCTGCTCTGCCTGGCAATCCGATAGACGTGTCTGGGTTTGGCCGTTGCCAGGAGAATGGTACTTGCCTGACTGCATTGTGCCAAGTGTAAAGTTTGGTGGAGGAGGGATTATGATGTGGGGTTGTTTTTCAGCGGTTGGCCCCTTCGTGAAGAGGTATCAGCATACCAAGGCATTTTGGACAATTTCATGCTCCCAACTTTGTGGGCACAATTTGGGGATGGCCCCTTCCTGTTCCAACATGACTTTGCACCAGGGCACAAAGCAAGGTCCATAAAGACATGGCTGAGCAAGTTTGGGGTGTAGGAACTGCCTGCAGTCCTGACCTCAACCTGATAGAACACCTTTGGGATAAATTAGAGCGGAGATTGCGAGCCAGGCCTTTCCGTCCAAAATCAGTACCTGACCTCGCAATGCGCTTCTGGAAGAATGGTCAAAAATTCCCATTTTCACATTCTTAAACCCTGTGGACAGCCTTCCCAGAAGAGTTGAAGCTATTTAAAACCAGGAATTCAACAGAGCAGAATGGTGTTATTACTAAATCCAGGATGGAATCTTGTTGCTAGAGTGATGCCATACTACCATGTTTTCCCTAATGCCACGTTACAGGATGGTGCCGTGCCAGCTAAACGGGGCCATGCCACCAAGTTACCAGACAATTGCCATTTTACTTCAATGTGCTGTGTTGCTAGATTTGTACGGTGCTGCAAAGGCTGTAATGCTTTATGACCATATCTGGTAACCTTTTAAGATAATATCAAGGGGCTAATTTGAATTCTAAAATATATATTTTTTCCATTTTTGTAAATATTAATGTAACCCTCTAAATTTGATTAAACATTCTATCCCTCCAATAAAAGGGAAGGTATTCTTTTTAGATCCTAAAAACGTTTTATGTGCTTAGTTGGACATACAACCAATGTTTCAGGGCCACATAGGACTTCTTTCTTAAGGTAACATGAACAAGAATGGGGCCCTGTTTGGCCTTGAGATGTTGGTTATTCTAAGCATAACATGCTTATAAATGCATAATGGAGCGCTGGTTTTATTGATCATATTGATTATGTTGCCACACGCCCATTCGATTGATATTGGCACTGAGTGGGGTGGGCTATTGCTACATTCATATAGTTTAATGTACATAAACCTATGGCTCCCATCTGAATCTATGTCTCAGCATACCATTTTGGTCTCAAGAAACATCTTAGTTCAAATTTAATGACTGTGACAAGATCAACTGCAGTGTGGTAGTGTTAAAGTCAAGTGCAATGAACGCTATTCTAATCATACACTGTCTTACTCTATTCTCTGCTCTATGGTAACTGTTTTCTTTTCTTGCAGGTCCTCCATCACCAACCAAAATAACAAAAGTGGTGAGTGTCTATCCAAAGGATTATGGTAATTTATCCGGTTTCTGTAAAAAAAAAAGAAAAAAATCCGGACATAAATGTCATTACTTAGTTTCATACTTAATATGGTACACATTTCTAAATGCCATGCCTCTCCTTTTTTCCCCGAAGACTGACAAACCAGAGCTGACTGGTAGTGTTGAAGCAATTGGCACAACTGAACCTTTACCACAGCCCTTACCCTTCCCACCAAACCTTGCACGATCTAATTCTCCAAAGCTTGACCCTTCAGAGGTGTACAAGAAATCAAAGAACATCTTTGACGATAAGCGTAAGTAATATCTTTAATATGGCAGATGCCACTCCTTTGTTAATAAACCATTGTAATTTAATGGACATTTGTGTATAGTTGCAGCATTGATATTGCTTTTTTTTGTAAACAAAAGTAATTGATGCATTGTAATTCACATTAACATCAAATAAAAAAGAAAATGCCAAGGAGGTTATAGAGGGAGTTGGAGGTAGCAGAAAAAATAACTGTATAATTGCATTAAAAAAATTCTGGGAAAGTAATTGGGTATAAAATAAAAAATTAGAGGGCAGTAGAAAAAATGCATTTGAATTATCACTGTACTATTCCCACTATGTATTGATGTAAACGTGTGCCTGTGCCCAGACTATGGACTAAGGTTTTTACGTTTTCTTATAGTGGACCTTTAACCCTTTTGACGAAAATTCACTATGCTGATATGAAATCATCTTACATTCATTAGCTAAATAAAGAAAAACATTTTTATTTTACTTACAATTTTTTTTTTCCACTTGCACAAAGGCACCTTTTAGAAATGCTCAGTAATGACAATCTACAAACAGATTTATTTATTTATTTTTTGCATACCTTATTTTTCTTTTCCTCCCCATTCTTCTCAACAGTGGCCATTTTTTACTAAGGGTAGATTAATTAATCTCCCTTTTACTTCCTGGAACTCTGTCACATGTGACCATGCACATCATCTCAGGAGAAGAAAATGCCTTTCCCTGAAATCTCATGAGATTACAGATAAGGTTTCCCGTTAATGCTCTGCTGATGTAACCTTCCCAAGATGCAATGCGTGTGCACAATTACATCGTTTGTGCTAAAGTGGACCAGGAAGTGGGAAAACAAGTATATTTGTTTAGCTAATGAATGAATGTAAGATGATTTCATTATAGCATGCAGAGCTGTATGCTGATGTGATTTTTAGTCAAAGTAGGTAGAGGTCCACTTTAAGCTGGCCATAAACCAGCAGAAATTAGTTCAAGAACTTTGTTTTTGGAGCATTTGTTTGATTTTCCAAGGGGGTCTAATCAATGTTCGTAGGAGGATCAAATGAGCAGAATGGAAAGTGGTTCTCTTATAAGCGAACAAACCTGTAACTGTAAATGTGGCCCAGAATATGATTTTTTGTTCTGGGAAAAATCATACATATTGTAAAGGATATGTGCTAGGCACAAAAAAAACAACAAACCTGTTTAATACATCTGTGATTCCATTCAAGTAGCAAATCTGGATGGAATTTTCAAGAACCTTCAAGCTAAATGAGTTGACTCAATGATGGCAAGAGCATATGTTCTGACCAGCGATTTCAAACTAATAACAAGGTTTGGCCAGCATTTTTCAATTTCAACGTTTTTATTAAGTTTTCAAACAAAAATAGTCTTGGAGAGGATTACATACAACAATCCGTATACAAAGTATTGAGGAGAGACACGACATAATAGAAAACATAGTCCATGTATCGTACAGAACTACATAACAAACATAAGTACCCAGTAATTATAATAATAGCAAAAGGAAGGGTACAAGATTACTGTAGGTAAGTAATACAGGTGTGTAAAGTGTAGACAACCTTTACAGTATTTGTGTCAGCATGTTGTAAGATCAAATAAAAATGTAAACTTCTAAGAAAGAGAAAGAAGGGGCAAAGCCCGGAAAAATAGTAAGACAGAAAAAAAATGGAAGAGATGAACCTCACAGCCTCACTGTAACCCCCCCTTACTTGCAAATCATTTATGATATAGCCAGTTGCATAGTTCCCTCCCAACGTCCTCAAATGCCACGGAAGCTAGACAAGTTCATATCAGGATGCTGGCATCTTAGCCAGGGTTCCCAGACACTGAGAAATTTAGGGTGCTTCACACACCATTTTTCAAGTGCGATTTAGAAAAAGCAAGAAATGTCTGGTACCTTTGGTTACCACAGTCGTATCTAAAATTTGCGCAACAGTCTTAGTAAAAGGTTTACTGTACTTTTCACTGTGGTTGTTGGCACAGCAGTGCAAATAATTGTGATTCCCAGATGCTCTTTTCTGACGGCTGTTGAGAACGCTTGTTGATTTTCTTTCTCATGCGATTTGCTCATTCTTGAGGCAAGCTGTCAAGAAACGTGAATGTCCAGTGCAGAGCTCTAAAAGTAGGCAATGCTCCTTATTTACTGCCTAAACACATGATAAATTATCTAAAGCATTACTGTGAAAGTGTTTATTCAGTTGCACTTGGTTAGGTGTGTCTCCTAAAAAGAGTCAGATGTGCAGTCCTTTGATACATCAGCCTGAGTGGAAAACCTATGTGGGGACATACTCACTTGGTAAACTTGCTGTTGTGACATTGTGGCTGCCTGTCCTCACACAGTCTTCCTCTGCACATATTAAACTTCTCTGCAGATGTCTGGCTTTAGTTTCATAGAAGTAAATAAATATCAAGAAAAAATACTATAAGCTGAACATGATGGCGAAGTTGTCTTGGCAGATCATTTCCCTTTTACTGTAAATACAGGCATTCAGCGCTTGCAGTATAAAGAAGTACTGTATATTCAAAGCCGTAATGTTTTTGCATAGAGTAGAGAAGGTTATTAATTACTGTCTGTGTCCCTTCTGGGGAGCGTCATCCTCACGATTTGGCCTGGTGACTATTGCCAGCAAGACACTTTATGGATAGAATATGTAATTGTTTTTTTTTTTTTTTTAGGGGCCATCTCCTCTCAGATACCTTTCACTAGAGCATATGTCCCAATTGGAAGCTTCTACTTTTAGGTCTCATTCACACATTTGATTAGGGCCAGACACCGCAAAAAATCAGCGTAAAGCTGCGGCAGGGATTACAGGTGTCTGTGATCAGCCTTGGCCAAGAAGCCTGTACAAATCAATGACAGGCTGACATAAATTGTGGCTGTCTGCAGGTATTTGCATGTAACTGTATGCCGGGCAGTTAAATGCAGCTAGGGCCAGATACGCATATCCAGGACAAATAGGGAATGTGGATCAACCTGTTGGAGACGCCTACAGCCATAAAAAAACTAACAGGCATTTAAATTTTTTCCTACATCTATCAAAAATTGGGGAAAAAATGTTGGCTTTACATTTTATGTTCTTCAGAACATCTTGGTAACACAACATTTCTCTCGAGTTATGGCTCAATAGCTTTTCTATTCCAGCTACAAAACTGCTTTACAGCAGGTCCCTACTGCCGTACTTCCCAAGTATTATTATGGTAGTCATTAAAGGGCTCGTGCACATGGCCGTATGACAATAGAGCAGCTAGAATGCAGGATCTTGCTGGTAGCAATATTCTGCTTAAAAAGTGCTCTGTGAGCTAAACGCATGTAAAGTTTGTGCATCATTTATGTGTGCCCTATGTAATGCTTAAAGCTAGGCAGCTCCTGCCTCTTGCATTCTAGCCGCGAGGTATGATAAGCAGCATGCAGACACCTGCATTCTAGCAATAAAGGACGCTAAGCAGCAAAGAGCCGCCTACATTCTAGCAACAAAGGATGCCAAGCCGTCTGCATCCTAGTGACAAAAGACGCTAAGCAGTAGGGATTCACCTGCATCCTAGTGACAAAAGATGCTAATCAGCCAGCAGGGAGCCGCTTGCATCCTAGTGACAGAAGACACTAAGCAGCAAGGAGGAGCCTGCATCCTAGCAATAAAGTATGCTAAGCAGCAAGGAGCCACCTGCGTCTTATCAACAAAGGACATTAGACATTTACCTTCACTTAGCGTCCTTTATTGCTAGAATGCAGGCGGCTCCAATAGAGTACATGTGTAAAGATAGGCACAAACTTTTACATGCGTACAACATAAAATATACTCCATATGCAGGAATTAAGATGCAGATTTTTCTATTTTGATTTTATAGTTTTGAATGCAGTACAAGCTGACTGATCCTTATGCAGTGTGTACATGAGCCCAATAGAAAACAATATACCTGCATTAAGATCCAGCCAAAAAAAAAAGGCAGCATTTTATGTGCATGAGCCCTAACATACAAAACAATGCATGACTCTATCTTTATAGTTTACCTTTCAGTGAAAGAATATTATACAAGACCTCCACGCAACAAAACTTTGTCCTTGCTTCTGATTATAAAGTACTGCACCATGAAAATGATAAAAAGTGTCTTCAGATGGGTCTGTTCTGAAGACTTGCACTATAATTATATAAATAACTTAAGATGGGGAGGAAAATGCATCAGAATATTACTTTATTCCAGCTATTCAGCTAGTACAGCAATTTGCTGATATAAAACAAATTGCTTACTGACTTGCATTATTTTAACTGTAAGACAGTCATGTGAATTAGGCACCTTTCACTGCCTTCACTGTTCACTTTAATCTCACAATTCTAATGTAATTGTTTAACCTCTTCAGTGACCAGAGGACATCATGCCTAGATCTCTAGAATAAATGTAGCAGTCAGTATGCGTGGGTTTACTTATCAATAAATCCATTACTAACTTGCCTACCTAAATATTTTTACATTATATATAAGGGCATATAAGGCTTTTGTTTTTTACAGTATGTAGTGATGTGCCCAAATGTTGCTTCCTTTTAGTTTTAATATGTCTTCTGTAAGAAAAGTACTTATTTCTAGATGCACACGTGTAAAACAAACACACTGGTACTACTAGGTAAACTGATAGGGCTGAAGGCTGAAGTAGTGTGATGGGCTTGCTTGCTTTTCCTGCAACATAGGGAAGATCCTTAGTGTATATGAAGCAAATTAATTTGGGAAGAAAGGCGCACAGACCCAATTTCAATAAAAAAAGCCTCTTGAGGTTTAACAAAGGAAGAGTTTCCGCCGAAATGTGTTGCCCAGCAAACATGCTTTACCCCCGAATAGTTTTTCAGCTGTGGAGCTCAGGCACTGCAGCCTAGCACAGGACAGATAGTGGCTTGTGTCCACACTTCTACCAGGTTCCAGGATCGATTGCAAAGGTTATGCAGCTCCTCCACCAGCCCACAGGAACCTATTGGACTAGGCCTCCTGCCCATGCTGTTGAAACCCAGGACTTGCTAGATGCAATTGTGAGTTTTACTCCCATCTATTACATCTGTGATTTATTGCATTTGGGTCTGTGCACCTTCCCAAATTATTTTGATGAAAAAAATGTATGTGATCATTATGTTTAAGGGTCACCATACTCTTTGTCCAACTTTAGATTTGCCTAAACTATGTAATATAAGTTCCTACCCAATCTGCTCAATTTGCATCCAGTCAGGTGACCTCATGATGGGAACCATGCTGATTGGTTCTCATTTTGGATTTAAAATGTATAGAACACTGAGGAACAGAATTTCGCTACAGTTTACCATATTTGTGCTGTACAAGTTGTAATACTGTGAAACTGTCTAATATTGCAGTCTATTTTACAGTGCATATCAACTTTTAGTTTATTTCCACAGTATTAAAGTCTATCTCCAGATACAAATTAAATCCCCTTACTGCATGGGTTAACTGCTTGTGTCTAGGGCGAGTCCCTTCTCCTTCACTCCGGCTGTGGACAGTCCCTCAGCATCCTCACATCCAATGTGGGGCTATTAGCCAAGAGATTACATAATGGGCCTCCAACCACTGGTACGGGAAAGGGGCTGTGGGTGCCAGTTTTGAACCAATGGGAGCGGTAATCAGGTGAATAAAACCACTTTAAAGAATCCTCCTAAACAAAAACAACCAATTAACCCTTGCATTAAGGGGGTAGCCCCACTGCAAGGGGAGGTTGTTGTTTTTTTGGTTTTGTTTTTTTTTATTCGTTTATTTATTCAGAGATTGTTTTTTGGAGAAAACTGGCAATTAGCAGGAACCATAAGGTGCTTTTACATATCTCCTTTTTTCCCCTGAGAAATGTGATCCTTTACACCCAGGACCCAATAAGAAAAGTTACATGCCATATGTAAATGGTGACTTGGACTGCAAATCTTTGCATTGACTTTGCCCTCTCCAATATCCAGTATATAATTTTTATAAGTATTTGTAGGTGATGCCTGCTGTCTAGCAGTTGTGACAGTGTTAATTGACTAAACTTAGTGAAGGATTCAGTCGATTGCTAACCGTTTGCAGTGAGAGCATTGTTGAATTCACATTTTTTGTAATCAGTATGTTTCTTGTTTTCTATATCTAGCTCCCAATACAAAGGACTTGGACGTTTTCCTACGAAAACAAGAAACTGGCTTTGGATTTCGGGTTCTCGGGGGAGATGGTCCAGACCAGGCAGTGAGTAACCTTACTTATTCCAGCAAAGTTGTGATGTAGTCCTCAGGTAAAAGTAAATTGAAATAGACAAAACGTGTTTATGTAAATCATTGTGCAGATTACATTTTCAGTGCTGTGTATATCATTTTTTTTTTCTTTCTCTTTGAAGCTAGCCACAGATAGCTCAAATTACATCTGATTCCTACAGAATTGGTCAAATTTGAGCCACCAGAAGTCATGCCTGTGGTTGTTTTGTAATGCTTTATAGGACCTTTAGTTCCACAACAGCTAGAGCCCCTGCCTTATTATTACTTATATACAGGATTTATATATCGCCAACCGTTTGCACAGCACTTTTGTACGGTCGAGGAGACAGCACAATCACAATACAATATTATACAAAAGTCCCTGATCTCCAAGGAGGGGCAAGTGATACAAAAGGTAATAACTTTGAGGGATGAGCTGATTGAGGGAGTAGATGTACAGTTTTTAAAGAGAGGTAGAATAGGCTTCCCTGAAGAGGGGAGTTTTCAGGCCTTAAATTGTATATAAACACACTTTGTCTCCATTTAAGAATGAGTAGGAATGGGGTTATAACCTCCTGTCAGTTTTTTTTATTGTTAAACATAGAAAAAAGCAAGGGACTCCATCTGACCGTCCAAGATGACTGAGATACCATATGAGGAAAAAGCACCAATGTTTTGCGAACCCTCTTTTTCAGAGGCTGTGATTGTCGTCCTGAAAAGCGGGTCTGTATACCATTGAAAGGTTAGGTGGAGTCCCTGGCTTTTTTTCTATATTTGGATTTGCATTGTGTCACCATTTAGCCAAGCACCCACCCCTAAAATATTATAAAGGTTTGTATAGGTTTGTATAAAGGGTTATAAAGGTTTGTGCAATGTGGGGTGGTTTGTTGCTTTGCATATAATTATTGGTTTCTTTGTCCCTACTGGGAAGGTCTGCCCTCTCTATTCCTCCTGGTTACCATTGCCACTGAGATTAAACGTGAGGGGAAATCCCTGAAAGTTGTCACCGAAAAAGGAATGGAGAGGAAGTCTTTAAATGAGGGCACTTATTCCAGGAACAGCTGTCTAGAAGAGGATTTCCTTCATTTATAGAAATTTCCTTAAAAGTTTTGGTTTTACATTATGGGTATGGAACTAGGTGATTATTTGGACATACAGCTAGTGATCGAGGAATAAGCAGTGTAGAATGTATATGATTTATTACTCGGATAAATGCATTACTATATAATTCATGTTGTGCTTTACTGTATTTGAGGAAAAGCAAGGCAGTTAAAACGATTTCTGAGAAGACTGTAATCAAATAGCAGGGATAAATAATTAACAGGCCTTGTGTTCTGGCAGTAAGTGATTCCAGGTACCTGCAGAGTCTGCACACTGTGTTATGGATTGCTTTGCCACTGTGCATGTCCAATAATTTCATATAATTGAAAAAGACAGGAATCCACAGAAACAACGCACACACAGTTCATTCACTTTCACTCCTGACTTAACAGAATAGTTCAAGAATTGTTACGTCTCTTCATAGTGCAAAGGGCATGGCCTAATTGAAATCTCCTGCTGAAAATGAAAGAAGTCTTTTGTCTAGATAGACCTTTCTCCTCTGATGTGATGTAGAGGTCTAATGTGTGCCACATGTATGGTGGCTACTCGTGATTCTTTGCAAAGGAAAAATGACCTAAAATTGTACCTTGATCAATCCTTACTTCAGGCAAAACATAAAGTAATGCACCTTATTCAGGGGTGTGGAAATTTTTGAAAAAACTACTTGTCTAAGGACAAGTAGTTTTTTTTTTAACCAAAACCGTATTTAGCAGTGCTAAGAAGCGCTTCTCATTGGTCAGTGCCGTCAGGTGACCACGTTGACCAACGAGTGCTTGCAATTTGCGAGCGAAATTCAGAATACATGGAACAGGTACAGATAGTACACCCGTACTGGTGGACTGCTTTGCCTGTGACTTAACAGCAAAGGAGAAGCAACAAGCTGATGATCTCATCTCTCTCTTCCTGTTAGAATGTTCCTTGTTACCACTTGGACTCTGCAACACTACTGATTTGTTCCTTGAGCGGCTTTTCTCTATACCAGTCTGAGAACTCCTGTACAGGAATTGCAACAGCATGATATCCAGTCAAATTCTGGCTGTTGCCCATGCTCGTATTTAAAAATAGTTTTTTTTTACAGCAGACGTTGCAGTGTAAGGTCCACAGCAGCTGTCCAGGACCTCTGCATAAATTGCCTGCTAATAGTAGGTATAAACTAGCCTGTAAAGTTAGATTAGATTACAGTTAGTAAAAAAAAAAGAAGTTAATAAATGAAATGTAAAAAGTTAAATAAATAAAAAATTGGGGGAAAAGTTAGACTGGATTACAAATGGATTTTATACTTACCCCATCTTTCACATCACTGGGCATGACATCACTATCCTTATTTTATTGATGTATTAACAATTACAGAGCTGCAGTCATTTGTGTCTTTTATATCTACCTGGATTTCAGCTTTAAATACCCTTGTTGGTGTTTGACTATGAAATGCTATACAGCTGTGCCTTTGACGCTTGGTTTGAATAAAAACCTCTGCTCTGCAGTTTTGCTTCTTTCTGTTGTGAAAAGTAGCCTGTGCCCTCAAAGGGGCTAATATTGAAAAAACTGAACCAAGAAAATTTATTGGAAAAGTAGAGCAACCAGTCTAATTGCTTGTTTTATCGTTCCTGTGTACAAAATATGAAACCGCATTGGGGACTAAAGGAAATTGTCCCACTTCTCTTTTTATTGTCTTGCTTCACTTTTTATGCGTTGGCACTGTAATTTGACAGTGGACCCACGCAAATCCTTTAATGCAGTTATATAGCCATACAAATGCTGGAAAATGATTTAAAATCTTAATTGTCATGATTTCTTGAACACATTTCATTGTGCAGCTATAGTTGCCCCTTTTAAATTATTGTAGGTTTAACGATTCCTACCTTATGACCCATCTAGTGCTATGTACGTGCTCTTCCTGTTAAGTTTTGCCTTTGGACATGTAGTATCACAATTTCACACATGCAGCTGTGTGGATGCCATAAGCCATAAGTCCAGGTCTTTGGTAAGGTATATTTTTCTCCGTTAGGGGTTTAGTCCAGGCATCTGCATGTGTGGCGTCCACACATGCAGATGCCTGGACTAAAAAACGAGGCATCCCGACTGGCCAGTTCACGCGCATCAAAAGGAATTGTAGTAAACAGGAAGACTACAAAAAGGAATCCCAAGAGCTATGTGAAAGATTTAGAGAAAGGGGCTATCCCCACAGAATACTCAGAAGAAGTAGACGTAAAGTGAATTACAAAACAAGAACGGATCTGCTAAAAGACAAAGAAACCAATGTCCAACCGACAAAAAAGAACTACACAAGAATGATCACTAAATATGGTGCGAGATGGGAGAAACTAAGGGAGATCATGAATAAACATTGGCATATTTTTAAACTATGCCCAACGTTATCGGAAATAGTAGGTCCAAGACCCCTACTCACAGCAAGAAGAGCTTCAAATCTGAAGGACACACTAGTAAGTTCAGAATTTAGGTCAAAACAATCTAGCTGGGAATCAACAAAACCAAAAGGAATGTTTCCCTGTGGGAAGTGTAGAATATGCCACCTAGTGGACAAAACAAATACCTTCTCGAATACAGAGGGCACAAAAACCTACAATATTACCTCTTTTATGAACTGTGATACAAGCAAGGTTATATATCAACTTGAATGCCCCTGCGGTAAATACTATATCGGAAAAACTAAAAGGCAACTTCGAATTAGAATCAGGGAACATCTTAATGATATAAGAAAAAGAGACAAGGATAGCCCGATAGCAGCCCATTTTTCGGATCTACACGGAGGGTCACCAGAGGGACTGAAAGTAAAGGCGATTTATGCGCTGAACTTGTCCCCACGAAGAGGAGACTTTGACATCATCCTCCTCCAAAAGGAAAAGATGTGGACATACAGACTAAATACTCTAATACCCAATGGATTAAACAATGAATTTAATCTAAATGTTTTCCTGTGAGAAGTCCGAAAGAACCAACCCCTCGTAAAAAGACCCTGCCTCGACTATAAAACAACAATAATAATTTTTATTAAAAAAGATTACTAACAAATGACCACCTTGATTAGATCAAAAAGAATTTTAATGGAAAAGAAGCGACTATGGTCTATTTCCATTAACTATTCGTCTCAAGTTTTATATATGTTTCTATATTAAGTAAAGGAACTGACAGCTAATTAATTATCGCACAGCCGAGAAACCATTCAAGGGCTAAATTAGAAGATAACATATAGGTGAGGACACAACGTATATACCTCACCGCACTAGGTAATAATACGTCCTGACGAAGCCTTGGGGGAGAGGTGAAACGCGTAGACGCCACACATGCAGATGCCTGGACTAAACCCCTAACGGAGAAAAATATACCTTACCAAAGACCTGGACTTATGGCTTATGATATCCTTTATATATGGGATTGATACTACATGGATACCTGTGAACCTCCAAGAATCCGAAACACCCGTATCAAGGATAAAATTGCTGGATCGTCTCTGCCGCCAAACAAACAAAACCATTTCCCTCAAGTGGAGAGGTGAGCTATACACAAAAAACGACGGCAACTTCGATATGTGAGTAAGACTATTATATATACTTGAAAAAAATCTTTCTCAATTGAGATCTATACCAATAACGGATAAACCAAATACAATAAGATACCCCGGGCAAAAGCAAGGGAAGACTCGCATGTTAATCTATGCCGCAACCAATTATCACAGCTCAAGATCACTCACGAGTGTAACAGAACCATTGAGTTTGATATATTGATGCAACACAAGTTTGACAAAGCATCACGTGTAGAGAGATCCCACATGCAATTTACGGGTCAAATCTACTATACATGGAAAGGGAACCCAAGGAGTTAAACACAGGTCGAAATCCAACGGAAAGATTGCCGTAAGCCCCGACGGAGGTGACA